GCTTAGTTTACATTTTTCGACAGTAGAGCCTGACGAATTGACGCATTTTGCATTGTATCCATTTGCAGTTATCTCAAAGCTTCGGTCCAAACGAGGCGGACGCAATGATTCGGCTTAAAATGGTGGAAAATGGGCAATTCAAGCCGGCAATTGTTGTGCATTTTGTCGACTGTGAGCCGGCCGGTTGTGGGTTCGAGGCCCGTCGAGGCGAGGCTGTGAGTGGCGACTACTTCCGATGGCACTGATTCGCGACAGGAAGGAGCGAAAGTGTGCTTCATGAGTGAATGGGCAGGTGTCGAGTCCCTGATCGCATCATTTTGTGCCATTTGTGCCGTTTCTGCCGGCAAACGGGGCTATCTGGCCAGCGAGCCAGGCTTGAATCGAGGCGAATCGAGGATTAGGCCATACTGTGAATGAATTCCTCTCGTTTGCTGCTTTTTTTGCCCACTTTTGCTGGTTAATACGCTCTCCTTTTCCGCATTTATATTGTCCACTTCACAGCTCTCCGGCAGACGGCCAATTCCACTCTCTTCTCACTTCACTTCACTTCACTTCACTTCACTTCGCCCTCACACTCGCACTCGCCTCTCCTCCCTTCTCAAGTCACCAGTCCTGCCAACCTCTAGCCCCCTGCACCGGCTAATCCGCCGTTTCCCCGGCGCTCTGCTAAAAGGTTCACTCAACTGCTTCGTCCAGAAGAGGCATGAAACAGGCTGTTTTCGCAATCTGGACAGTGCGTAATTACTTGTCCATAAAACTCAAATCAAAGCTGACCGTAAATAATAAAACATTTTCTCTCTCCTCCATTCACTCGTCTTGGCCGGGGCCGACAAACTGGTTGTTAACTGGCTCACCAATCCTTTTGTGCTGTTCGTCTGAGTTGGTTATCACATTAGCGCAATCGGGTGCCGTCTGCACACCGAAAAAAGCCTGTAGAAGTCATAGCTCAGCTTGCACAGTACAGAGAGCGGATGAGAATGGCATGATTCAAGAGTTTCGAGGCTGCCGGTAAATCAGTAATATGAGATGTGTTCAACACATTTCGTCTAAGCTGATGTAGGACTGGTTGTACAATTTTCCCACAATCACATGAGTTGAGCTGACGTTTCCATTCAATTTCACATAACCTTGCTTTCCCGAAAGTTGTCCTTTTTCTTATCGAGTTACACCTCACCATCTTATCTGCTTCTTCTCTCGAACCAACGACGTTGGTGCCAGAATAGCTCTGCTCTTTTCGGTGTGTTGCGACAAGCCACACTTTTCGACATCGCCAAGAAGCCTGGTCAGGTCTCCGATGAGATTAGCCGACAGAGAAACTGTATGTACCGAAACATGCAATGAAGCATTTGGAAATCTCGAACTGCGGACTAAGTTTTGATTCCGTGTTCTTTGCGGTATGGAAGCGAAAAAATGAAAAACAATCGAGACAGACATCCTACTCCTCTAGGCTTACACAACTATACACGTCCGACCTATCAGTGCTGGAGGAAATGTCGTCAAAGCCGGTTATGATGTACAACTGCCATATGACATTCAGTTGCCATGGCAAGGCTATAGGTTGGCATCGAAGAGAGGATAAATAAGTGAATTCACTTTGACTTCTGAGTGGTTTTTATGACCTCATTCTGCCAATGTCTGTACCGGTTTATCTGAGTCTTTAAAACCCAACA